TTAGCCTTTTCCTGTTCCTTTTTTCACCTAGGCGGGTTAGTGCCCTTCACCACCTAATTGTATTGCAAATACTGAGATCTGTTTTTGGTTTTGGTCTCTTGAACATGATTATTGCCTGTAACTTTTAGACTCTTCCATCCCATGTAGTTTATATCTATTTTTAATGTTTTGATTATGGACTTTGATTCCTCCGATAGGGATATAATACGTAAAATCAAGCAATTATATTGCTCACTTATGTGTGTGGCACCAAACACCTTTGTCCATATTCTTCATGGATCAATAATTAATCTGTATTTTATCTGGGACTCGATAGTCCACTGCTGTAGTAGACTTATAGAATGGTTTGGACCTTAAAGATCATCTAGATCAACCCCCCCTGCATGGGCAGGGACACCTCCCACCAGCCTAGGTTGCTCCAAGCCCCATCCAACCTGCCCTTCAACACTTCCAGGGATGGGGCAGCCACAGCTTCTCTGGGCAGCATGGCTCAGTGTCTCACCACCCTCACAGGGAAGAATTTCCTCCTGATTTCTAACGTAAATCTCCCCTCTTCCAATTTTAATCCATTGCCCTTTGTTCTCTCACTACAAGCCCTTGTAAAAACTCCTTCCCCAACCTTCTATTCCACTAAGGTAGTTGATGCTGATCGAGAACACAATCCATGATATCTAGACTAGGCAATACAAACACCTTTTTTATTCTCTTTGGTATTTAGGTTTTTCCTATGTCCACATTTTTTCTAGTGTGTGTCAGTATTTTCTGCCTTACTAAAGAAAGGGCCATTTTGGCACTTGATCTCAAACTTGTGAAGCTTTGTCTGCAGCTTTTTGCTGGTTAGGTAACTCCTTGCCCAGAGTAGGGTTTTTTTGGAACTCAGATTTTCCTGTTAAAGGAAATGATGAAATGGAAGAAGTGAAGACACACTGTGTGCTGGTGCATGCTGATAGCCACATTAAAGATTCTTCTTGCCAGAACTGTACAATATCATCTGAGATGCTGCCTCTTATAAGCAGATGAAAAGTCAAGTTGAAAAGCCAACTCTTGCAACCCTTTCCACTTAGGGAAAGGCTCTGACAGAAGTGTCTTTGATTCCACCCATTAATAACTTGCCTGACCCTTTCTTCACCACATCCGTCCTCTGCTTAGTCCCAAGATAGGAATTGTGGGACACTGTTTTTCCAGGTTTAGTGTGTAGCAGCTTAACCAGGTGTCTGCTGGACTTTGAATTCTACCTAAAGGATCCCAATGTGTCAAAGAATAGTTGTTGTTCCTTGCAAGTACCCTTTGAGCATTTCTCCTTCTTCTAGGAAATAGTTTTCTTCAGAACACCTGGGAAATTGAGCCAATTGGATGCTTTATATCCCTGAAGTCCCTTATAATAAGATCCCTCATTTTGTGGTATCTGCAAAAGCAGCAATCTAGTATTCAAGCAAACTTGTTCTGGGAGTGCTAGAGGCCACAGAACATGGTGATTTGCTAATCTAAGCTAGTGCTGAAAAGATAAAAATATTAGCTTTTTATAGTTGACCTTGTTTCTGTCAACAGACAAATTGTTTTGAGAGCAGCAATGAAAATGCTTCTTGGAATGAAACTGTCTGCTCTGGTAGGAGGAATTATATTAACTTTAAGCTTGTATTTTGGAGTATACTTAAGTACTGTCTACACAGGAAAGATTTAAGTACAGCTTAGATGCAGGAGCTGAATTATGTTTTGGAAACAATGGTGGCTTACCAATGCTGTAGTATACAGTGAGTTTAAAACCAAAAAACCCCGTTTGGTAAAACATGAAGCCCAAAGTGTGCTTCTAGACTTGGGTTTGAGAGCAGACTGCTTTCTAAAGGTGAAACTGTGATATATCTTGCCTGCTTGCCTTGTAAGAAATTAAAATGTGCCTGGGATTGTTCCCAGGTACCATGGCCAGCTGGTTCAGGGCTGGCTTGTCCATACTTTTATTAAACTATCAGGGCAGGGTGGCTGCATCTGAACTGCCCAGTGTGAGTGATCCTGATTGTGTGTCTGCTTACAAACCTGGGAATTGTGTGGGAGAACAGTAATTGGCACAGCCCAGTGCTGGGGAATGTCATAGCTGCTTTCTAGCCTACATGATCACGTTCCAATGCCTGGGAATGTTTCCAGCTAAGATTTAACTTAGGAGTACAGATGTTAGTCCTTGATTCTTCCAAATTCTTTGTAGACTGAAGCATAGAAGGTCTCTTCACATCATAAGGGGTTTAGGATGCTTCAGAAAGGTAGATTGAGGAGAGAATGCCTCTTATTTCTTTTGGGGCAGTAATTCTGTACCTCCTGTCTCCCTTTTAGCTGGTTTTAAAGGTTGTTTAAACATCTTTCAGAATGCAGTCACCTTCTTTCCAGCCTCCACCTTTCTGGGATGAGAGGAGGGTCTGCCCTCTGTCATACTATTACTTGTGTCTGAATGAACATACTGTCACCTTCCATGGAAGTGCTGCTTATGAAGGATGCTTTTTGTGGTTGCAAGGGATTTCATTCTGACTTGGTGTGTGTGTGTGAATATTAAGAACCTGGGTGATGTGGTGGGGGGTTGGTCTTGCAGCTTTTAGGCAGTAGATCTTTTGTGTGAGCAGGAGAGTGGGGGGACCACTATTTCCTCTGGTATTTTTTTCCAGTGAACAGTAAAAGCTGTGTTGAGCTGACTTTATTGATCATACAAGATGATTTCCTGCAGGCTTTTCAGTGTTTGATTGTGGATTATTGGGATTGGAGTGTAGACGCTGGTGTACAGAGCCAGTAAAACATTGATAGTAATCCCAGCTCTAAGCAGATGTACCTCCTGGAGGACAGCATCTCACGGAAGCTGCTGAATATTGGAGGAGTGTTGCTCTTCTTCTCTACCTCCTGGCATGTCCTCCCATGGTGTCCTGAAGTTCACTGCAAGCTGTGGCTCAGTCATGCAGTCACTCCAGGATACTGTTTGTCTTTCTGTAGGCTATGGAATATGCTGTCAGCTTGGATAGTTTGAATATTTATAGAGAAGAGATGAGCAATATAAAATCCTGTTCCTGTTCATTGGGCTTTGTCAAGGGCTGTGAAGTGTTACTTTTGCACGTGTTGCCTAAAAACCTGTGTGTGGCAACTGCGTGGCCTGTCACATTTCCACCAGTGATGCTCCCCACAATTTTGGGAACATGTAATCTGTGTGACAGCATCAGCTTTGGAGCACTGCTTCGTATAAAGGATCTATTGCTCAAAGCTTGTAAGCTGTCAGAGCTGATTGTGTCAGTTAATATGCAGCAGGCTTTGTGTCTGCTGATTGTTCTGCTAATTTCATATGCAGGATGATCTGTCTCACCAGCAGCAGTGCATATTTAAGGACACAGTACAGTGCAGGGTTGGTCCCTGATGTCCCACAGACTGGCTGTGTGTTTTCAGGGCAACTATTACAGTCCTTCTACAGGTTCTGGCAGCTCACAGTTCTGGACATGTCTTAGAAATATGAAAAAAGGAGGTTAAACTCTCAAAACATGAATTTTCTCCTTTGTGTGTTCTGTGGTCAGATAACCAGCTCATTGATTTGGGTTGCTGCTCAGTTGCAGGGACTCTTCATCCTCCCTGGGATGCTGCTAGAAATGAGGCAAGAAGGGGACAAGAACCATTCATTCCCTTCATCAGGAGCCCACACTTCTGTTTTATTAAGGTCACCATGGATTTTAGGTGGATGTCAGCCCTGAAAGTGATTTTTAAGTACAGTGCTGTGCTCCTTCTCTCCTTTGTTTTATAGCACTGATGATTTTTCTCTGTGTAAGGGGAGAAAAAAAATACATGCTTCACCTTTCTTCCCTTGAACACTCAGTCCAAACCTGTGAGAGTATCAGCTCATCTTAGTAGCTTCAATTTAAATGGCAAAGCCTGTATTTAAAATTTGGAGTCAGGTAAACATGGATTCTTTTCTGAAAAAGCCTCTGAAAAGTTGAGGCTATTAACTTGAAAGGTAACGTAGCACCAAGTCAAACTTCAGGCTTTGTAATTAGGGAGCAGAGTTGTAAGTCAGTCATCAACCAAATTCTCTTCCATTTCTGAGGTGTGAAAACTAGTTGTGTGTTACTTACGTAAAATAAACTGTCACAGGGCCAGTCTGTGATAGAGCTGAGCTTGATTTATGGTTCTGAAAATATGCTGCCCATTTACAAGCCCATGGTGTTTTCCTGCGTTACTTACATCTGCTTCTGCTTTTAGTTCATGCCTATCAAAGTAGGCTCCTTTTTCTTTGCTGTTGTGATCTTATCACTGAACCAGTTGGGTAAAGAAATTGTTGCCTTTCCGTCTGCTTGATTTAGCACTTAGTTTTGTTGTTGCTCTATAGTTCAGACTTAAAATGTATTGTAAAACTGTATTGAATATTGTGTTTGTATCTAGTGGGAAAGCAGTCTTCTAATCAAGGGGAATACAGAAAAGAGTGGGAAGTATCAGCTGCCGTGTACTTTTCTTCAGTCTGAATTTTCCTGTTTTGGGAAAAGCAGCAAATTATGATGTGCATGGAGAATGACATTCATGCTGAAGTGGTAGTACCTGAAAGATAGATTGTGATGTTCAGTTTCAGTCACACATGGCCTTTGTTTGAAGTCCTAGGGAAACTTCTGCTTAAGAACAAACAAAAACAAAGAACCCCAACCCATCACCTACCCTTGAAAATTCAATTTCCTGAAGAGCTAGGCTGAGGAAGTTTTGCCTGTTTTAAGGAACATTACAACTGTATTAAGTACTTGAAACCAGATAACTTGTTCACCTTTTAAAAACATGATCATTTACCTTGAATCACGTGTTCCATTTTGATATCCTCTTTCATATAGAAAATATAGCATGAGATGTCAGTTGAAATGGGAATCTTAACAATGCTCTATCTTCTATGTGAAAGGAAATACTCTGTACATTTTTCCATGTTTGACATCATGGTGTTTTGAATAACCATGTTCCATATTTCATATCAATTTTTTTGTTTTTGTTTTCAATTTTATGCACAGCACTTGCTCTGAAATTTGGGGACTGAGTACACCAAACACGATAGATCAGTGGGATACAACAGGCCTTTACAGCTTCTCTGAACAAACCAGGTGAATATTCTGCCCTCTCTCTCATCACAGAAGTCTTGTGGGAGGGATTGGCTTTGGAGGGTCTGTAATGGGATGCTTGAGCTGTAAAATAGACTAAAAATGCTTCCTAGGCCTCTCATGGTACAGCATTTAAAAATATTTGCTTGCCTGTGTAGAAGTCTTAAGTGTTCTCAGCTGATGTTTTGACCAATGAAACTCTAATTCTGGAATATTCCTGCTATTGAAAGAATGGGAAGACTTGTTAAATGCAAGCTCCAATGGGATTTGGTATTTTTATTAACAAAGTTGGGAAACTTAATTCTTTAGTCCTAATCTTACAAAGTGTTTAAACTGCTTTGTATGCCACAAGCTTTCAAGTAAGTCTTGCTAATTGGCTCAGGTACGAGCTACTAAAGAATCGCTTGTAAATTCTCTGGTAGCTCATGGTGGGCAAATTTGAAACAGGGTCTTTTCTTTTTTTTTCATGTCACATTCCTTGATTTGTGTATTGAGGTTTTGTCTCCCATCCCATAACAGTCATAAACATCTGCATTTGTGTAAGCATATGCAGTCTGTCTTAAAACTAGCAAAACGTTTTCAGCTGGTAGCAAGGCAAGATGAAGTCAAGAAGATAAACTATACAAGATCTGGATTCATGCCTTTTGCATTTACACTGCCATGTGGATCTCTTGTCCAGCTGACTGCTTAGAGGCTGTATTTGCAATCCTGTGGGAATTCTTCTGCTTAAAGCCATAAAGCATCCATGCCACAGCAAAGCCTTGAGGTTTAGAAGCAAAATGGACTGTTAAATGTGTGATTTCATTTAATTTGTTTAACAACTCTCTTCATTTAAACAAAAATAAGTAGATTCAGCAATTATCCTAAAGACTTGGTTGGAGGTCAAGTGGCTTCTAACAAACTCTAAATTTGAGCAAGAATTTGAGCAGCTCAAAAAGAAGACACTGCTTTGAGTCCATTTTGATCGCATTTGAAGCTTCCTAATGTCACTAGCAGTGTCAATCCACCTGAGTTCTGAAATGAAGTGCTCATCCCATGTGTGTAGAGTGTTGCTGGAGTGGTTGGGGAGTGCAGTCTGTAAATCCCTCTCCACATCTTTCCCCCCTGTAGATCCCTCGATGGCCGCCTGCAGGTCTCTCACCGCAAAGGGCTCCCACATGTCATCTACTGCCGGTTGTGGCGCTGGCCAGACCTTCACAGTCACCATGAACTCAAAGCAATTGAAAACTGTGAATATGCTTTTAATCTTAAAAAGGACGAAGTATGTGTAAACCCTTATCACTACCAGAGAGTGGAGACACCAGGTAAGATGACTTCTGACTTGCTGGAGCAGCTGAGTTGTTCAGCGTTAAAACTGGAAGAGGGGAGGTTTAGGCATTAGGAGGAAATTCTTTGGTGTGAGGGTGGTGAGACCCTGGCCCAAGTTGCCCAGAGAAGCTGTGGCTGCCCCATCCCTGGCAGTGTTGAAGTCAGGTTGGATGGGGCTTGGAGCAACCTGTGCTGGTGGGAGGTGTCCCTGCCCGTGCAGGAGAGTTGGGACTGGATGATCTTGAGGGTCCCTTCCAACCCAAACCATTCTATGATTCTATAGAAAAAGGTGATACTTTCTTCTGCCAAAAAGCCCAAGATTGTTAAAGATCAAGGTTTTTAGAATACCATACCCTGAAAGTTTTTAATAGTGATGTGACTGAATAATCTTTACAAATGTGTTGGGTATCCCTGATAAACACTTCCAGTATCACCAGCAGTTTCTGGCTGGCTGAGTGTGATCTGGACTGAAAAGGAAAGAGAGGTGAGTCTGCTGATGTGGAATAGTGCTACTCAAGAGGTACCTCAGGAATCCATTTCTTCCAGTACCTTGGAAGACAATTGCAGTACTGAGATTCAAAACGTTTCAAAACATCTGAAGAGATGGTCAGATGTTAGAATTAAATGTGAATTGATTGTTAGAATTTTTAGATTATGGGTTTTTTTTCCTATGAGCTCACAGAAATATGTATTTTGGGGGTCTTAATAATGCTTTGAATTTTGCTTTTCCAGTCTTGCCTCCTGTACTAGTGCCCCGGCACACCGAGATCCTAACGGAGCTCCCTCCTCTCGATGACTATACCCATTCCATTCCTGAAAACACTAATTTTCCAGCTGGAATTGAGCCACAGAGCAACTACATCCCAGGTATTTTCTCAGCTCCTTCTGTCAACAGTACATTCAACATTGTGCTAGTGGAACAAAGATGACCATTTCACCCTCCTAAGTAATTGAAAGACCCACCTAGAAATTAAATCTGCTTGATTTAGTGTTTTAATTCCAGTGGAAATAACACTGTTGTTTGCAGAACACAAACCTGTGGGAGGTCATATTGCTGTGGTTTCACAATAGCTTCTTTGGTTTCAGGAGCTTCTTCAGGATTCAGAATGCTAAGGAATACCAAGTAGACCTTTACCTTGTGCTTTAAGCCTGGTTTACAAACATATAAGGCTGGTCAAATGTTGTGTATTGGACAGGGAGTAGTAAACTGCAACTCAGTCTCACCCTGTGTGTTATGTGCAGAAAACTAAGTTGCAAAACAGGGACTTAAGGTGTTTTGATCTGTAACTCACAATTGATCAAGGTCTGTTTTGTATATTTGGTAGTTGTATGCATTCAGTTTTGCCTTCAGTACGAATGAACAACCTAACAATGCTGAGCCCTTAAAGAATTCCTCCTCCTCCTCTTCGCTTCTTCTGCACCTCAGAACAAATACCAAGAGTAATCCACTAAGGTGCACCTGAAAACCTGTAGCCTTATTGAAACATAAAATCAGTGACCTTTGTTTCCTGCCCCAACTTCCTGTTTCCTATCTCTTCAGGAAGTTGCCTGGAGTGTGAAAACCAAGCAAAGCTGAAGTTTTGTCATAAATCTGCAATGCAGTTATGTTGCAAACAAGCTGAAAACTCAGATTCACACATTTACAGATTCAGTCACTGGAGTTGGAGGAGAACTCTGAAGATCATCTACTCCAACCCCCCCTGTTAGAGCAGGGTCCCCTAAAGCAGATCCCACAGGAACACATCCAGATGGGTTTGGAATTTCTCCAGAGGAGAACACTCCACAGCCTCTCTGGGCAGTGTGTCCCAGGGCTCTGTCACTCTCACAATAGAGAACAAATGAAGGTGCTAGAAGTTGATGGTTCTTTCTTATGTATACTTTTTTGACTCCCATCTGAGGGCTTTTGGAAACATTTGCAAACAAATGACTGGAAAGCCACCATCTGGAAATCCAGTGCTGTGGAAATGAGCTGAAGCAGTTCTAGGTAGTTATTTGCAAGGAGGACTGTTCAGGGTGACTGTGGGTACTCACATGATTCCTAGATGTTTATGCATCTAACCACACCTGGCCTCCTTCCCATTGTCACTGGCACCCTCCTTTTGTATTCATATCATGGCATCTTACTTTATTTGACCTTGTTAAGTTAATCTTGACTGCTTAACCAGGCTCTGAGAAGTCTCTTGTCTCTTGAGAGAATCATTTTCTTCAGGCTAACAGCAAAACTGCCTCAGTACTTGGTCTGTAGAGGGGTTGGGTTCACCTCCAGCTGGGAAGATGGTGACTGTGAAGGGACAGGATGGACTTCACAGAATCCTTATGGTTGGAAAAGACCTTTAGGATGATTGAGTCCAACCATATCCTAACTCTGCCAACCATTAGCTCAACTCTACCATGTCTGGTGCTTAAACCATGTTCCTCAGCACCACATCTACACATCTCTTAAACATCTCTAGGGATGATGATTTAACCACCTCCCTGGGCAGCCCATTCCAGTGTTTAATTGCCCTTTCAGTGAAGAAGTTTCTCCTAATATCCAATGTCAGCCTCCCCTGGCACCACTGCAGCCCATTTCCTCTTGTCCCATCCCTTGT